AGGAATGGAGCTGAGGCCACTGCCAGAAAGGATGGGGATGGAAGCTGGGGATGACAGATTGTCTTAGCCAACTTTGGAACCCAAAGCCGTCTACAGCCATAGATTGAAAAGAAGCTTTATTAATGCTCATTTGTGCTTCGACTGACATAGAGGGGAGTTTGTATTTTTCAAGAGAGAACAAAAGTATTTTCCACAGTTTCCTCCAGGCCATAATTCTGCATGTCCCGACCAGCAGCAGCTCTCAAGAGGTGTCCAGAGAAGCAGGTGTTGCCCTCGCGCTGTTCACTGTCTGGGTGATTTCTTCTAAAGAGCATCGTGGCTTTGTTCAACCTTACCCCGCAGGCAACACCTCTCTCTTGCAGGTGGAGAACTGGTTGTCCATGGGGAAGGAGAACCCATGGCAGAGAGGGGCCATCTCCCCTGCCCTGTCTTGGCTCTACACCCACCCCGGGGCTGCTGCAAAAGAAAGAGCTCCAAGCGCACAGGGAACCATTGAGCAAATCCGCAAGCGCTGGAGGGTTTTCCAAGGTCCTCCTTGAGGAAGAAGAGGTGGGTACCCGCCTTGAGAGCCGCACCTCAGGTCGCTGCGCTCTGTGCTCACTGGTCACCGTGGCTGAGGGCACCCATGTGTGTGGAGGAGATGCCCTGGCAGAGCAAACAGGTCTTTTGTTGCACATGCACAGAAAAATAATAATATCGCCGCAGCTGGCAGTAATTCAGCTGCTTTCTGCAAAGGGTGCATATGTTAGAGGAGGTCTTAATAGAGGTGAACAGACTGCTCCTATTTGAAGTCAAATGTTTTAAAGGTTACACAGAGTTAAGCGAGGACATTTGTTGCCGATAAGAAATTCCCCTGCCTTTGTGTCGCGCTGGCAAATAGCGCGCGCGTGTGTACGTCCCCAGTGATTTTTCACATCAATTGTCTGCCTTTAGTTTTCACATCTGTGCTGCTATGGTTACCGAGAGCCTGAAAGGTTTTAAATCTCCCTCAGAGCAATGGAGGATTTCAGAGGTAATCTTGTTAAGAGATGAGCAATGAATATTTCCAAAGGCCTTTTGCATTAATATCTCATTCCATATTAGCTTATGTCCACTGACAGAACGGAAAGCAAAATGTGGCGGGGGGGACTGCAAGCGAGGGAAAGAAAGAAAGCAGGAAAAAAAAAAGACTGCAGAACTATGTTTTTTGCCTTTTGTGCTCAGAATGACGTGCCTGGATCCTGGGCTTTCAAGGAGGGCCTGGTTGGTCAGCCTAGGTTGGGTGTTAGAGAAGCAGAGGGGCAGCCTGTGCCCCAGCCTGGTCGGTGCCATTTGGGCTGCTCTGGGCCATGTCCCTGTGCCGCAGGGCTCTCTGCAGACACCCCTTTGGCTTCAGGGTAGCCCTGCAGCCCGAGCAGCTCCAAGAGGCAGCGGAGCTGCAAGGAGAGCTGAGCGCGCTCCACAGCCTCGGGAATGGAGACTGCGGGGAGCCACATGCAGTGCCCTCGGGGCAGGTCTCCAGGCTAAGGGCAGTGCTGGAGAGAGCAGAGGAGGGAAAATAGCCCTGAGCTGGCCAGGAGGAGGGTGAGTGGTGGCAGGAGGAAGGACAAAGGAAGAAAACAATGACCTGCAGGAGCTGGGATGGAGCGTGAACGACCTGGAGAAGGTCTGGGGAAGGGGGAGCTCCCAGCTGGTCTGACAGCTCGGGAACAAGGGGCGCTCAGCGGAGCTGCCACCGCAGACCTGCAGGTCCTCGTGGGACGAGGACAGGGGAGGCAGCTGGACCCAACAGCACATCAGAAAAGGAGAACCCTGCTGGGTCCTGCACAAAGAAACACACTGCACGCTCCCTGCCTCCAGCAGCACGGGGCGTATGGTACAGAGCTGCGGGCGCTGCACGCCGCCCTCTGCCTTTGTCAGAGGAGCTGACCTTGCCCCAGGAGCTCTCAATGTCCTGCCAAGTTTTGCAGCATCTTTTGCAATCGTTCCTTTTATTTCAGGAGGACTCAGGCTCTCAGCTCCACCTGGCCACGAGCGGGAAACCAGAGGAGCTCTCGAGTCCTCCCAGGACACCCGGGGCCCGTGCAGCGTGTTTCATTCTGACAAATTACAAAGCTCCGCAGGGCCCGGTGTGCGCTGCAGCCGGCCGCGCTGCAGGTGCCAGCGGTGGCGGTTCGGAGGAGACCGAGTGTGGCGGAGCGGGGAGGCTGCAGGTGCGACGGCACCGGCGCTGCTCTGGTGCTGAGTTCGGGCTGTGATGCCCAGGCAGGGCCAGGGCTGCTGCCCAGGGCAGAGCAGCTGTTTGGGTGCTGAAGTGTTTCCATACACACTGCTGAGGTGTTTCCATAGCTGGAAAAGAGCCTCGCTCGCAAACACATAGTCTGCAACACTGTGATGCACTTCCATGAGCTGGGACTGGGCTGGGACCATGTTCCCCCACCTCCAACGTGGGTCTATTCCTGGGAGCTAACAGTGGGGTTCAGAGCTGGTGGGATTTGTGCCCTTCTCACTGGCAGGGCTTCATTCCTGAGCATGGGAAGCTCCTGGGGGGCCTCCGGGCTGGAGCCAGGCTCCCACATGGCCTCTGGAAAGGGGAAGCAGGCAGTGAATAGGGATGCAAAGCTTGTCCTCCTCTGTAACCCTGTTGATGCTACATGATGTTGACCCACCAGGGTCTGGCTGATCCTGTAACTCTCCCTGTTCCATGAGGGACCTGCCCTGTTCCAGGAGGTACCGTCGTGCTGACCTGCAGCCGAGGAGCCCTCGCAGGTGCCTGCTGCTTGGCTGCTCCCTGTGCTGGCAGCTCTGCCAGCTCCCTTTTCCCTGGCCGTGCCAGGAGAGCCGGGCAGCATACGGGGACCCCATGGCGGGACCTGGGTGCGGGCTGGCAGGGGCTCCTCTCCCGCTCCCGCCTGCTCGCTCGGCCCATGGGTTCATGCATGGTGTACGTGCGCGCGGCGGCGTTTGCAGGGGTGCGCGCTGGTTTCCTGTTTCCCTCGAGGAGGAAGCAGTCAGGAATGAGAAACCAAAGGGAGACCATCCCTGGGGGGTGGCCTGTCCCCAAGGGCTTCCTGTC